GATGCCAAGTGCAGTGAGAATGGAGCACAGAGCAGCAGTGCTCCCTGCCAGGGCCATGAAGAAGTGGCTTTTGCTACAGTGCTTGCTTAATGGCACAAGTGAAAAGCTGAATAAGGCAAACACTTGAAGAGGCAGTTGTTTTGTAAACTTCTGGGGTGGGGGTGGGATTCCTTCTGCAACTGTAGTTTTTTAAGTGTAAATCCTAGCCAAAGAATAAAAACTTTGGCTGGTCACAATGGCTCAAGCCTGTAATCCCAGAACTTTGGAAGGCTGAGGTGAGGAGACTACCTGAGCCCACGGGTTTGAGAACAGTCTGGGCAACTTGGTGAGACCTCATCTCTACAATAAATCAAAAAATTAACTGGGTGTGGTAGCACGTGCCTATAGTTTCAGCTACTTGGAAGGCTGGGGCAGAAGTATCGCTGGAGCCCAGCAGGTTGATGCTGGGGTGGCGGTGAGCGTGCTACTGCACTCCAGCCTGGGTTGGGCAACGGAGTGAGACTCCAACTCAAAAAAAATAAAATAAAATCTTTATATAGGCATTATCAATGCAGTCACTGAGTAAAGAAAACATCTGTATTTTCCCTTTTGGCATTAGATACAAATGATAAAAATCATATTGACCAGGACTCACTTTAAGAAGAAATGGCTGAGATTGGAAAGAATGCTCTGAAATGCCACTCGGGATGGAAGAATGGTTCCCAAGGGACACACCCTGGTCCCAGTAGATGATCTCTAAGCTATCTTTTAAGGAAAAGGGAAGCTAGTGAACTGCAGGGTTTGTGCTGAGTGCAGCATGCATACAAGAGGCCATACCTAAACGGCTAGAGGCAAGAAGGACCCAGGTCAGCCACCTGCTCTGCCCTCCCTGGGCAGCCCACCGTCTCTCTTCCAAACTGACAAGTCAGCAGGCTGCCCACTCACCTGTCTAGGGTGGGCCAGGGCTGAGTCTAGTCAGTTAGAGGTGACAGCAGAGTCAGTGGCTGAAAGATGGAATAGAGGAGGGATGGAGAAGCCAGGACAGGGGAGCCAATAGGGGCTCTAGGGGCTTGGGTGGAGAGGGGAAAGGGAGACCTTAAAGTCCAGCTGTCCATGCTCTTGAATCCAAATCCTCTGACAGCAACACTCTTTTTAAAAGGTAATAAATGCCCTAAATCATACTTTATGATTTAGGGCAGCGAGACCTCATCTCTACAATAAATAAAAAAAAAAATCAGCCAGGCATGGTAGCG